CTCTTTTTCGCCCGTATTTCGAGCCCCACTACTATTCCCCTCATGCGCCTTCGCTGACCATGCCTAGCATACCCCCATCAAGTACCAGACCCCACCATGGTCGCGTCGTCCCCACTTTCCGGCCGCGGGATAAAATATCCGACCCCTGGAGGGAAATAGTAGTGGGGCTCGAGATACGGGCGAAAAACAGTGAAAGTGAACCTCGTGGGATGAATTACGAGACCCCTGACTGATCTCACGGTCGGTCGTGTACCTACGTTTTCCCTGTCCGTCGTTACCACGGTCGACGATGCACCGACGTTCTCGCTGTCGGCCGCCGCACCGTCTGTCGTCGACCCATCGGTCGGCAGACGCTCGAACACGCTTTTTTCCGAGTGCCGATGCGCGACCTTCGACCGGTGTCCAGAGTCGTTGCTTCTTCTTCGTGTCGTCTCGCGCGTTTGCTCCGATCCCCCTTTCCCTGTACGATGCGGGCACCGCGAACGTCGCACGAACGGTCACGGCGACTGCTTGCCACCGTCTTCGGACGATCGGCCACCGCTCTCCGTCTACTTACCGGCCTTCGCGCCCGTTCGCGCTGTCTCACGTACGGGCGCGTGTTTGCGTTTACGAATAACGGGAGAGAGCGGCGGCGGCTGCTGCTGCTGCTGCTGCTGCTGCTGCTGCGGCTGCTGTTGCTGCTGCGGCTGCTGCTGTGGGCAACGATGAATTGCCCCTACCTGTTTCGAAGCGAGGACGACCTTGTGGTATGGACCACGCGTTCGTGTGTACTGGAGGACGATTGGTCACGTGTTGAAATTACGTTTAATTGAACACGAAGGTTACAAAATTATTTACACTGATACTGTTTCGCGGTGTACGAGTTCGATACTGCCTCGAAACCAGAGGTTCGACCTGCTGTCGACGACCCGCTGTCGGCGATCGGTCGTCCCGCTCTTTACGCACAGACGGAAACGCGTGACGTGACGCCCGCGTCTTGTCTCCATACCCGTGAGTCGCCGGTCGAGACGCGTTCGTAAGCGGTGTGTCCCTGCGAGTCTCGTGCTTCGTTCGTGCCGCACACCGATCGCGTCCGACGCGTACGGAGAGGTGCCGGAGTGTACGATTTCTCCTCTGCCCGAGCTCTCCCCGCTACTGTGTGCTGCTGCGAGTGCTGCGAGTGCTGCGTGCTCCGCGTGCTGTCCCCGCTTACGTACGGCGTTGTTACGCGTGTCCCCGATGGTCCTGGGTAACGTGAGTGCGGGCAAGAGAGAGTAGTGAGGGACGGCTCGGGAACGGGAAAAGTCCTACGTTCTGGCATCCCTGGTCGTATACACGATTTGTGTGTACTTGCGCGACTGATGTAGGAAGCCCGGTGAATGTCCATGATGGATGAATGTATGAACTGCGATTGTCTTAAAAAACTATGTTCGACACAGCCGATGACGCATCGGTGACGCGTGAGTACGCGCGCGAACGAGTGAGTTCGCTGAAAATTTCCACGTCTCGAGACGGTGCTGTCTCGCGGTCAGACTGGTCACGGTTTCCCGCGTTCTTTTCGCGTTGCTTCGCCCGAAGCGTTCGCTTCGTCGCTCGACTCGGCCGTCGAGTTCACCGTTCACTGAAGTAGTGCCGACGACGGGGACGGAGGCAGCGACGGCGACGGCGGTGGCCTCGTGAAACTTTCTGTCTCGTTCCGATGAAATTGACATACAGTACTGGACGTACTCAGAGTAGACTCGGACCACATTCCTCTCCCTTTGAAATCTCTTCCGGTCCTGTGTCTCTTTCTGTTTGCCTCGGGCGCGTTTCCAGACTTGTCTTTTCGCACACGGTTCCACCACGAGTTCAATCTGCAATGCCGCGCGAATTCGTCCCTTTCAGTTTCTGCGTCCGATGACGACGACGACGACGACGACGACGACGACGACGACGACGACGCGCGGACTCTGATCGTCTCGCGACGATCGAGTCGCGCGTCGTCGGACGCGTTTACGTACCTGGGATGTCGAAACTGAGCGAAACGAGACGACGGGCCTGCGACCGCTAGCATCGGACACAGGAAGAACGTGGCGTACGTCCAGCTTATACCCATCACGAGCAGCAAGAACACGCCGATTTGAATGTACGCCAACACGGACGAGGGTAGCATCAGAGCACCGGCGGCACCGCTCGTCAGCGAGGCCATCAGAGTCGGACCACCCATCTGCGCGAGAGCCGTTTTTACCCTGTCCTCCCTCTCTTTGGATGCGCTGCATGTCGTGTAACTCACTACGTAGTGTAGACTGAAGTCTACGGTGAGACCTGAAAACGATACGCGTGTCTGTTTCGTGTGTGTGTGTGTGTGGCTATCGGCTGGGGATCGCGCGTAAGAGATCGTCGAACGTTGCGTCGACCGGGCCCGTGCGCGGATCGACCTAGTGTACCTATCGCTGTGGACACCGCGACGCTTTCTAAGACGTTCAGCTTCCACCCGAGCAGGATCAGACCGGCGACTGTCACCGTGATTGCAGCGCCGATCGTTGTGATCGCGTACAGACTCACGAGAGGATTGAACGTCACGAATGCCAGTACTGTCAGAGCTAGGATCAAGGAGACTCCCATTGCCCAGAGAGTACCTTCGTACAGTGTTCGCTGCAGTTCGTAAAATTCTAATCTGCTGACGAACCAACCACCGCGCATTCCTGACGGAGCGGTCTTCAGTTGATCTTGCATCCACGTCTCGACCTGCGAACATACCGTGTTCTCGATTCGATTTCCCGTGCGTTCGACGTTCCACGACTCTGATTGTTCGATCTCGTGATCGACTCGGAAGCTCTCGTTCCCCGTGACGATCGTTCTCCTACCTGATGAAAAAATTGATCCATGTTCGTGAACGACAGACTGTAGTTGTATATACTGTCGTACTCGACGACCAGAGCTTTGATTTTAGGCACCGTGGACACCGTTGCGAGAGAACGTGTCCCGTTTGACACGCGTGACGGGCCGAGGTTCGGTTCGTCGTTGAAGAACTTCAGCCCGGCGGAAATGCCGTTGCGAAACCACAAATACGACGGAGTCCGGTGCAGTTCTGCGTTCGCTTCGGCCGCGCATCTTTGTAAAGTGCTGGCGTTGTATGGAAATTTGCTCTTCTCGCAGCACGGCATGTGATTGATACGGGAGTCCACCGGGTCTTCGCAGCGTCTTTGCATCCAATTGTATAATAATTCGATGAAACAATTGGAGAGTAGAGGCCCCAGAGTGTCTCGATAGAAAGGTTGAGCGCGCAGACTGTGGCAAAAGTTTTTCAACCACGACTGAGACTCTGGATGCGACACGTCGAACGTGTCGTCCCATTCTGGAGTGCCTGTCAAACTCGGATCTAAGTAATTGCCATTGTCGATCGGCTTGATCCCCCAGACGAATCTCAATGGCAATACGTCTCCGCCGTTGTCCATCTGCGAGCATCGTTCAGCTTTTCACCGGGAGTTTTTACGAGCGTTGCGTTCGACAAAATTTTCTACCTCTTTGTTACGTACGTACCGTTTCGTGCCTCTCGAACCAAAATTTTCGAGAATATACTAGGTCGTATTTCTCGAACGGATGAGAGATCTCGAACAGCTGAAAGTCCGCGGAATCGGGCAATTGCAAGCCTGGATATTGGAAGACCACGATGCAACATGTCATCGCTGTGATACCCAGACTTGACAACCAACACCATCGGAAATCGAGGACCGTCCTCGTGAGGAGACTGTTGAAGCCTACGGCCACTTTGTCACCCAACAGTCTTAAGGGTCGAATGACCTTTCGCGTGATAAAGTTTGCAGGAGATAAGAAACGTAGTTTGATTTGTTCCGATATTACGACGCATGCCGGCAGCCAAGTGATCATTAAGAAGAAGTTCGCGATCACGGTCATTCCTGAGAATAAACTGAAACGATTTTACACTCGGTTAGCGACGTGTCGACGGCGATCGTCTCTGATCTGTCCGACTGTTTTGCGAGAATGTTGGTACCTGAAGCAATTGATCGCGGTGACGTTACTGACGACCGATGCGAAGAACGCTACCGCGGTGGTCAGAGATGTTACGAACATGGACGGAACGGCGTGCTTCATTGTTTCTTGCACCAGTTTGACCAATCCGTTGTTCGATATTTTCTGCTCCTTTCCTCGCTCCCAAATCTTACAGTATATGAAAGCGTCGTCTGCGCCTATACCTTGAAGTAAAATTATATTTCTGTCGCGTTGCGTTCTTGAAACGATCATCGTTTCGACTGGTGCGCGTTGACTCTCGTCGCTTACCCACGGCTACGACGATTGCCAGCAGATTCATGAATGGGAAGAACTTGATGTGCAAGACTAGAGTGTAAAATGCGTATGAAATTCCGAGACTAAAAATCACAGCGACGATAGTCGTGACGGTTAACAGTAAGGAGCTCGTGTACGCCCATATACAAATTGTTACGAAGCCGAAACCAACGAGTAACAATGTGGAATCTGACACCAACAGCTTGTCGAACAATGTGCTTTTAAGGCCCAACTGCATTCCCTTTACGCAGAATTTCCCGTAAGACAGGGCGTCGTTCTTCAATCCGTTGTAAAAATCTAAAGTCGCTGAACTCGCAGCGATCGGCAGGATCAACATTGTGTACTTCAACGTTGAGTTCGTCTTGTTTTGTGCATCTTCTTTCTGTGACAAAGAACGAGAGCGTGTTTATTTACCAATGTTTTACGTGTCTTCGATGGTTCTCGTTGTATAGTAATCAATGTTCTTACATGATCGGAAATAAAATCGATATCTAACAAGTAGTGCAACAAATGATAGACTGCGTTGTGCGTGTAGCATTCGGTCGGAACGTGTTTTTGACAATTGAAATCTTCCGCACAATTCGACGTTAAGTGATGATCTTTATAGTAATCGATACATCTCTTCAAAAGAGACTCTACACGGCTAAGATCACTTTCTGTCACGCCCAAGCAAGATGTTCGATTGGATAAAAGTGCAACGTAATTTGCCGGTGACCAACTTCTACAACACTTCTGTTCTGCGTTACCGTGCTCTAGTTGTGTTTGACATAAAGAGGGGAAGTGAGAATTCACTCTAAGCTCTGCGTCGATGTAACATTGTGCTAATACACCTTCCATTGACCACAAATTTGTATCATCGGAGTTTCTACCAATGACCACACGTGCATAAGCAGAAGACGGTAAATTGCAAAAAAAATTCTCACTGTCGATATTATCTTGGCTCTTATAGCCAGCTCCAGTGACAAATTTATTGTTTAACTCTATCAATTTCTCCCATTTATCTTTGACCGCTTCTGTCTCATTCCCAGACGTTTGCTTCTGGTATTTTTTTCCCTTCTTCTTGTTCTTAGGCTTCTTTCGTACGTTATCTTCACTGACTGTCCAACTGTCGTTCTTTCTGGCAGAATTCTGAGAATTATGAAACGATGTCAGTTCTTGAACCCGAGAGACCGGAGAACCGGAGAAATCCAGATAAAGATACCTGTCGAATCTGTTGTTGCACGTAGTCGTAATATTCTAAAGGATTGTCCACTAATTGTCCTCTTGGCTTACTCGCTTCCAACAAATTCTGCCAAGCTATGAGCCTCTGTGCTAATGCTGTGCCTCTCGATTCGAAACCCTTGATAAAGTATAAAAGAAACGAATTAGAGAAATTCACCGGTATGCATTTCTGTCTTTCGTCCATGATTTTTCGTTCTACTTACTAATTGTGGATCCGAAAAGTCAGGAAATTTTTTGATGGTCAAGGGAGCGATTAAACATGTCGATGAAAAAATAAGTATTGCTATTACAATCGCATAAGGATGATGAGCTATTACTCGAGAGAACCACCACACTTCCATATTGACGATTATTTGTTAGGTACGCACGTAATGTGAAATACGTACTGTTCGATCAAGATCGACCCAATCCTTCTTGTTCAATTTACATATTGTCGTATCGCGCTTAAACTTTGAAACGGCGTAACGTGACGAGGTAGTGAGAGTAATCGACGACTTTGTCGATTTATAACACGACGAACTCGAGCGTTTACAAATCGAACCTTTTCCTCGAGGTTTCACTCATTTTTACGTTTCTTTTCTATCGTAATTCCCGTTGCACTCGTACTTATCGTTGCACTTGCAGGTAAGTGTATCGTGTGTTATTCCCAAATTTATATCAAAACAGATGTAAACGTAAAAAGGATGAAATCGTATTGTTTGCGTTGCTACCTCCGCACAGTCCTGAAGAAATGTAATTTTATGTAAAACGCTGAAACATGGTTGTTTGATCTAAACGTAACGTCAAGTTCCCACTTGAAGGGTGGCACGTGTTTACATCACAGTAACAGTAACAAATGGGATGATCCGTTGAAGTCTACGGATTCTCTAACAAATGTACGTACGTACATATGTATACACGTTATGTATACACGCATGTGTGCGCACTGCGCAGGTGCACTGACCACTACTGTGCGTGTGCCGTGTATACGTATGTTAGCTGTACACGCACCGTGTGTACACGTGTCCATACCGTCGCGAAAAAGTAGACGTTTGAGTAGAACTTCGTTGATTTACGACTTAAATAATTATTATTCAATTCTCCGATTGAACTGTGAGTATGATCGATTTCTCACATCTCTTGTCTTTGGCAGACTGTTTTCAATACAATTCACCGGTAATAATATTTTCTGATTGCAGATGAACGACTTGATACTGATATTTTCTATTCTGTTCATGAGTACTTTTGTACAGGGTACAGAAATTGATAACAAGCTGTTGAAATGCTTAGGTAAGTGAATGTAACGAGCTGTAATTGTTTACTGATTCATTTTAACGATTGATCAACGTTGTAATGATACGTAGTATGTAGATCAACGATAAAAGAGATTGAAGGAGAAATAGCAAAAATTGATCCCTCGAGAGAGATTGAGATAGGCAATTATAGACTGGATGCACAAGGAAATATTATTCACAAAAAGGTAATTTCACTCTTACGTATGCCTGAATTATAAATGATAATAGAAAGATATTGTTTCGAAATACGAACGTTCTTTCGTCCAAAGGTTCCACTCGCACGATCTGAAGTACACATGTCTGACGTCTTGGACAATATTTGTGAAAAAATGTCAGACTATGTAAGAGCTACGTATAAATCAAATGGTCAATTAACGATCTTAAATCTCATCGATCCAGTTGGTGGTGGTATGAATCCTGAAATGAGCAAAGTCGACGTTGTCCAGGACGGTGATCTTAACAAAAGTTTAAAATATTACGTGAGCACATTCGTTTCAGATTTAATTCAGATACGATGTCTGTACGAAATGTATCGAAGGCAGATAGATGTTTTCAAAAGTTCTTGACTGAAGTTCTTGTTAAATTACAGTGCGAGGAGATAGTGGAGGAACATGAAGAGTCCATAATTTCATTGTTCGTTCGTGAAGAGCGTAATATCAGAGGACAGTTGTGTACAGATGTTGCTAAGCTGTGTGATCCTGCAGAGTTTAGCTATGAGAATGACGAAGACAATGAATCGCATGAAGAACATGAACTGTGATGGTATTTAGGAGGAAATGGATACTGATCTGTATCCCTTTATATGTACATATTTTTGATATTCGAAAGATGAGATGATTAGCTATATTTATTATTATTTAAATCATACGCGTTTAAAACAGGAATGAAGTATTACAACGTACAACGTTTGGGATTAATAAATGTAAATAAATTAGAAACGTGATAAATTCAATTGCGTCCGAGGATTATTGTTCTGATGAATTAACGATCGCGATATACTTGACGATATTTAGAACGTTAGGTTAGAATAATTTATTCCGGTCACTCGGCGTGTTTCAATGATTTACCGGCAGAGTACACTCCGATCGGTGAGGGAAGTGTATCGTACGGTCGTTCTATGATCCATGGTCTTTACACCCAAACTTCTGTGCGCGCTTGTTTCGTCTCCGTTCTTCGTTCGCCGCCATCGTTACGAAGACGAGAGAGGTTGGTTTTACTCATTTTCGCGTATTAGTGTCGTTACATCAAATCCAGCACAAATGAAGATGGTTGATAAAATAGACATGAGCCTCGATGACATTATCAAGCAAAATAAAGGGACGAGACCTCGGGGAGGCGGTGCCAGACGCGGAAGAGGTGCCGGTAATTCACCTCGTAGAGGAGCACGCAGAACGCAAAGAGTTAGTGGCGGCGTCATGCGGGGACGCAGCCGTGGCGGTATAACAAGGAGCACTCTCCCGTACATAAGGGTGAGAACACTCGGATTCATTTTCGTTTCGCAATATTTCCAAATTTCTATTTACCTCGCACTGGCCTGGTCACGTGTGCCGTGATATCGGACCATATAGCGTTATTTTCGCTCGACCGTTTGTGTACTCCGAAAATCTTCGACCTAAGGATAGATTACAACGGTATTTCGGCATAAATTAGTCTTCTGATATGTACGCGAAGTAGTATTCTGTAATGTAGTGTATATGTTTTTTAATCAGGGAGGAAACAATGTAACCGTTGAGTTTACAAATTTTCGAAAATTATCAGAGTCCATGCTTTTGTGGTGGGACAATAGATCGCGGGTTCTATAGATAATTACGTTCACCGTCTCTGTTTCGTTTATAGATTTGAGTACTAATAGTAATTGAGTTCGAAACGTTTCGAGTTATGCGTCTTAAATAAAGGGCGGTATTCCTGAATTCCTAATAAATATATATGTATAGTTGAAACGTTCTTCCAGTTTGTAAACTTTTATTTTATTTTCACAAAAATGTACAACAAATGTGTGCCACATTTTTATATGTAAGAAAGTATTTTTATACAATGAACACACATTGCTAACTCTTGTCCGTAGGGCGATGTAAACAGTGCGTGGAAACATGACATGTTCGATGGAGTGAAGAAGGTAGGCAGAAGTGCCATAGGTAGTGCTGGAACGACCAAGCTTCTGGTGTCAAATCTTGACTTCGGAGTATCTGATTCAGACATACAGGTATTAATGTGTAATACTATAATCATTTTTGCACATCGTCCACTGTATTAGTTATTCACGATTGTAAATATATACGCGTGCGCCTGTGTTTCAGGAGTTATTTAGTGAATTTGGCCCCTTGAAATCAGCAGCAGTACATTACGATAGGTCAGGTCGATCATTGGGATCTGCGGATGTTATATTTGAGAGAAGAGCAGACGCTATTAAAGCAATGAAACAATATAATGGCGTACCTTTAGACGGTGCGTAGTCGAATCTCTGCCCGGAGTACGAGTTTTCCTTTGAATGTCTCTTTAATTATGGAATTCCGCCTATATTTAGGGTTTCAGTATCGCTTATTAATCTGGTCTCCAGTTTATACCTAGCGACACACAGTTTGAGCATTTTCTCTTTTAACCTCCAAAAAAAAAAAATAAAAAAAAAAAATACGCGACATGGGATGACATTAAAGAAAAACAAATTTCAAAGAAGTTATCGTGAATTATGTTGTTTTCCACGACTATTCACATCTATTATTGCAATGTGTGATGTACATCGGCAGGTCGTGAAATGAACATACAAGTTGCTACCTCTGAAATACCAGTCACGTCTATCCGTGGAGGACCGAGACTTAGCGGCAGCAGCAATTATACGCAGAGACCTCAGACCCGCTTTAGGGGCAGTCGTGGAACAGGGTCCGTGAGAGGTGTGTAAATGATTCGTTTCGCGAGAGATTCGCAGTGGATAATCGCGGCAGAGAGTGCTGATACATACGGCTGTATGCTCTTTTTAAAGGTCGTGGAACTGGTCGTCGTGGAGGGAGAGGAGCCGCTCGGCAAGTGACGAAAACCCCGACCGCTGAAGAATTAGACGCAGAACTCGAAGCTTATGTGAAAGAAGTAAAGTAACAATGTCACGAACCCTGACAATTCTAAGATTTTTGTTCTCTATTCTGACTTGACACAAATCGATGTGTTCCCCTAATTTTCCATGAGAATATATAAAAATGAGTATAATTGTATCAATAGCAAGATATTGTAAGAAA